TCCCTGTGCTGAATCCTGTCTGAAGTACAGATATAGAATAGCCCTGCAGCGCCCAGGAGGGAAAATAAATCCAGAAGAGTTTTCTCAAAGCATCTCAGGGCAAGAAACTTTCCAACCGTGGCTGCACTGATTTTTTAACAGCTTCCTGACACGTACGGTGCAAAATCAATACTGAGGAAAATCAAGAAAAGTTGATGAGAAACAYGATAGAAATACTCTTTTTCCTTAATCCTGCTGCCACCATGAGACTTTGKGTTTGCTGCAGGGCAAAAGCCCCTGCGTGGAAACAATCCTTGGTAACTWATCTCAGAGATTCAGGCCATTGGCTGCATGTCTGTCTCCAGAACTGCTTTTTCAAGGAGAGCTTTGCTGTGCATCGTGATGTGGATAAGCATCGTATTCTTCRTATTCTTCTCCCTTTACACCAGATCAGACCAACACAGCCACCATGAGAAGCCCAGAAATACAAGGGTTAAAGGGTTTCCAACAGCTATTCCCAAATCAGTAATAAATATCAGGCCAAAAGGGATCAGGAGTGACATTATTATTCCGGTAAACAGTACCAAGGAAATTTCATTCCTGACCAGAAATTCACAACGGTATTTATAGTTTGTGTATGACTGTTGCTTGGATGGGTGGCATTTATTCCATTCCTGGTTTTCCAGGTGGGAAATGGAGACATCTCTGTGTATGCAGAACAAATCACTGACAAACTGGCTGAGAATTTAGTTTAGGCTCTTAACTTCAAACAGTCTCTGGAACAATAGAGTACAGAAATGTGGCTGGTTAGACTGGCAGGAGACTGGCTGGTGGGTTTCTGCAAAAATGCTCACTTTTCATAGTGACAGAGTTTAAAAAAATTAGTTTTAGAGAGCATAATAACACTTGATACAGTCAATTCTCCTGAGAGAACTCAGCACAGAAACCATGAAAGATTCAATCTCTCCTGCTTTCTGTTATTACCCAGTAACAAGCTACAATATAAATATTTTAGAACACTACCCTTCTGTAATTTGGGATGTACAAAGTTCCAGGAGATGAGGGTTAATCTTACTGCTTTTGGGGCAAGTCTGCGAGATTTGAAGAAAAAAAAGAAGTTTGATACCTTAATTAAGGAACAGAAAAGAATAACACTGGCAGAGAAAAGGGTTCTGTACCTCGATGCTCCTTTACTTCAGAGCCCGTGTGCCACAGACAGCATTCAATTAAATAATAGCCTTAGCAATAAACAATGACAATACACAGAACACCACACAACATCACTCCTTTGGCTCAAAGTAATTCCAGTTTGTGACTGAACAGTTGCTAGGCAAAACCTCCAACACGTGGCTGAAAACAGTGAAACCTTSGCATCCTACAGCTGAAAAGGCAGGGAACAAACTGGCAGAGGAAAATTCGATTGCACATCCCTTACGTAGTAGTTTTATTTCCTGTGCAGTTTGAAAACAGCATCMGTACAACTTTGGTATTCACCTGGAAAAGGCTTAGCTGGGAGAGCAGTCGCTGCTTGTCCAAGGAAAGCTCTGAAAAGGCAGCAATTTCCAACATCTCCAAACAAATGGATTTGAAACAAAAGCAAACAGAATAATTTGTTCTGATTTTTTTTTTTTCTTTTCACGGTGCAGCACACCCAAGATACAGCTGTTTTCTCATAGAGATATTAGTAACAGTAGTAATAACAAAATCATGCTGGGAATTATGAGGTACCACAGCAAGGGTTGTGGTGAAAAGACACGATCCTGACTGAGGGCAATGGGGAAATCAGTTTTTAGAGAGCTTTCTATTGCCTAACCAAAGCCCTTCCAGTGGTTATATTTCCCCGTCCTGAATATTATTTAAGGTAATTTTTACAGTAAGAACAACCACCCACTGGAACAACCTCCCCAGAGATGTCTCACTGGAGTTTTTAAAGATGAGATTGGACAGGATGTTGGTTAATGATGATTTTATGATTCCATCATCTCACCTATGCTCTCTTTCCCCAAAAAATGGCTGGACCAATTAATCTTCTGAGGTGCTGCCCAGCCTGGGCTGTTCTGTGAATTTGGGGATACTGAGAAATTGAAGARGGACATTTCTTCGTGACCACCAACATGCAAGCACTCAGTGCAGGATCATTCCTTCTAAAATCAGTCGGAATCAACCGCTGCCAGGAAGGCAAGATCCTATTGTCTGGATGGGATATGGGAGGGATGCCAGACCCCAAAAGAGTACTGAAAACCAGGGGTCACATCAGGATAAAGATTTTGTGAAGCCACAAAGGTGTCCAATGGTGGATTTCTTCTGAGTGCAATTCTTATCAAACAATTATGGGTTAAAATGCTGCAGGTTTTTTCATGAGGCAGCACAAATGCTCCTGTCAGGAGTATCAACACAGAGCAGATGGACTCTGCCAAGGCAAAAAGCCTCTTCCTCCCCAGTAAAAAGCTTCATCACCATTTACATGTATCTCAACAAAACTTCTATCTTGTAGAAATTCTATATTTACCATAACAACTCAACCTAGGAGCTGTCCATTTGCTTTCCTTCCCTTTTTTCCTCCCCTCTCTCCAAAGTACCCTGCCAAAATATAACGTGCCTTTGCCAATCAGGCACCAAACATGGGGAAAGAAGTTTCAAGTACATGAACAATATATTTCATAAATAAAACCTGGCTTCCTCTTGCCCAGTGGGTTTGGTGTGAAASAAAAACGTTTGTGGACAGGACAGCTGAGGAGAAACTGAACTAGCTCAAGCCAGTGGGAAATAATCCAGGAACTGTACTCAGGCTAATGAGAGGCTAAAAAATTACAGAATCTCATGGCGTTTGTGTGAAAAGTACCTAAGGAAGGCAAAAGTGAGCAGAGAATGAAAAATTCTCTTCCCCACACCCATTAAAATGTACATTTTCTTTCTGATATGCATCCTTGTCCCATCAAATACTGGTCCCTCCCATGAAGATATTTTATAGACCTGTTGACATATAAATAAAAGTAGTTCTGCTCCTTTGACACACAGAATCTGTCACCAGAAACCCCTTTCCTATCCATGCCCTGCAGCTTTACACAAAGCCTGGCATAGGAAACCTCTGGACACAGCCATGGCACCAAGAAAACCAGTGGAGATTAATTTTAATATCCAGGCATTTATACTTTGAGAGAACGTGTTGCAAAGATTATAAGGCATCCTTTAGGGGTTATGTTATAGAATCTTTCAAAGCTGAGGTCATTCCTACTCATATTTCTGCTAAACATAGAACTCTTTCATAAATACGATAGGCACAGACAGGATTTCTACAACCACCAATCCATCCTCACTGTCCGACACAGCAGCAGCTTTATCCTCAGGGAAACAAAACCCTTCAGCTTTATCCTCAGGGAAAAAAACCTTTCAGCTTTATCCTCAGGGAAAAAAAACCTTTCAGCAGAGTTCTGTGGCTCAGCCTGCTGCCCCAGAGGACCTTCAGCCACAGCTGGTTTTGCCCTTCAGGATTCCAAGCAACATTATTATATATATATATATAAATATGTATGCATATATATATATTTAGTTTATTCCTTTTTGCTATCAGCTCATTTTTCCCTGTGGGAATGAAATCATCTTCTTGACATGCAAAAGTTCAGACTGCACATCCATGGATGGAGAATGGAATGAAGGCGTGCTGTCAGCAAAGATGTGTTTGACCCAACCCACTATTTGCATCCCCATGCAAACCTCGCTCCTGATACACTGGGGCACACTGACTCCATGTGGCAGGACACAGAATATGCTCCAGACATTTCTTTCCCCTGCATTTCACACAACCTCGTGTGCACCTGCGAACTTTGGAACAAAGTTTTGGAAACAGAAGGAAAAGAATCCCTGCGTTATTCCCTTGAGAAAGGGCAACGTGGGGACGAAAAAAGTTAATGAATTGTGTTGGTAACAGTGTTTTTCACACAAATACTCAYCAGGAACACACAGTAAAGTACAAAGGCTATATATATATATATGTATATGTATATATATATAAAAAGAATGCTTTCTCAAATGTTTATTACACGATGAAATAAGTCTAATTGAAAAAAAATTTACATCCTGAACTTCATCAAAGGGGACTGATTGCTCTTCAGGCCTATTAGCTAAAAGCAAGATTGAAAGAGCAGGGCTGAAAAATTACATAAAATTGTRTCACATTCTTTTTTCAGTTTGCAATTGGTTTGATTGAAACTTGACCAGAAGACCACAAAAGTTTGCTYCAGCATTAGACAGCTCTCTGGCTCAAGGAGCACTAACACTGTGTGATGGGTACAGGGGTTTTYCCATGACTAAAATGGAAATAACTGGTAATATTTTTTTCCACACCACACTCATGCCCACCCCAAAACCCCAAATTCCACCTACTTTACTGATGTTGTTCAATACAAGACCTAAAGAAGATAAGAAACAAAGACAATTCTTGTTTTGCCCATCTGTGTCTCCACATTTCAGTCTCTACCAGCTGACCACAATTCCACCCACTGCGAACAAGGTCTTCAGACGTCATTTCCACACTTGGAAAGCAGCGACATGGTATGGCTGAAAGGGTTTTTCTACATCACAAGTGCTGTAAAATTTAGGATTTCCCCACTTTGGTTAAGGTGTGTGATGAAGCACCTGTCAAATCTCAAYCTTACCGCACAACTGCAAGGGGATGTTAAATTTGTGGTGAGATTTTTTTTTTCTTTGTAATTTTTTTAAAACAGCACAAGGTCTGGAGATAGCGTGAGAATCTCAGACCAGGGGCGTTGCAGGGCGATGTGCCAATTTCAGCTTAAATTTCATTGTATAAACATTTTCCCATCTCTGTTTGGTATCCAGCAAACAATCCTATTAGAAATTTTCCAAAGGTTTGTGTGTTTTTTTGTCTCTGAGTAGTGTCCACGCCAGCACTTTCCCAAGTATAAATTAGTAGCTGTACATCTGCTGCTGCTGCTGCTCTGTCTGAACCGGCTGCTGGCCYGGCTGCTGCGGCGTGGCCGGCGCCGGGGGCTGCAGGACATCAGTCTGAGGCACTGACCTCCAGCTCAGGGGGTGCTGCTCTGTCATCTGGTTGCCCAGTGGAGCAATGGAGTTCACCAGGGTGGTCAGGTTTATAAAATGAGCCACGGACTGCGGGTTGGGCGCCTCGGGCTGCGGCGGGAGCTGAATGTCACTCTGGCGGTTGTGCAGCATGGCCGAGCCGCTGACGGTGTCGAAGGTGACGGTCAGGATGGAGTTGTCCAGCTGCAGCTGGCGCTCCGGGGCGCTCAGGTGGCCCACGGCCACGGGCTGGAGGTTGGTGAACTGGGTGCCAGCYGCTGTGGTGATGGGGGTGACGGTGATGTTGGTGAGCCCCACGGAGCTGGAGGGAGCGGTGACGTTTGGGTCACCGAGGGTCACCACCACCTGAGCAGAGACACAAAGGAAYCTGAGCCTCGTGGCTTCACATTGACCACCAAATATCAAATAGCTCTGGCTGACAAAAAGTCACACACAGATGGGAACGTAGGAAACTTGGAATGGAACAACTTCCACACACAGAAATAATGGGAGGGATATGTAAAATTCAGGACAAACAGCCAAATTAACTTATCACAACTTCAGCCAGTTAGTCATATCTGGCAAACAAGTTGATGCTAACACCAGAGGAAATGAAAACAAACATGAGGAGCTTATTGGTCCAACTTGTGGTTTTTGAAACTCTCTGTTCATCTTTGTATTACCACAATTTATCCAACCAGCTCCAAATGTTCCAATCACTCTTTTATGTTTTTTTAATCCATAAGAAGTGTTATCTCCTTAAGYAATGCCACCCATCACCCTCCTCCTGCAGCTCACCTGCTGGATGCTCTGTACAGCTGAATTTGTYTCATCTCCAACATTCCCTGTGAATTCACCTTCCTTCTCTGTGTATTCACTGAAGGCAGGGTCCTCAGGCACTTGAGCTTCCTCCTCCTCCCCTGACTTTTGTTTTCGTTTCTGGCCACGTTTAGGAGCTTTYACGTGCTGCTTCCCTTCTGGTAATTCACCCTGTTCCAAGGCCAATTCCGGCTGGAGTAACACATTTCCAAAGAAAACACCAAGTTCTTTTGCTTAGTGAGGCTCCAWGTAAGAGACAATCACCTGAAGCCCATTTACTGTCAATTCTCAAGCGAAGGAACCAACTTTAGCAAAATCCTGACTCCAGGGATTGMGACCTCACCCTGTAATTACATKTTGCCAGCACCCCTGTTATACAACYRAGCAGATCAGCAGCTTGTGGCTGCTTGGACATGTTCCACTGGGGCTGAGTCCCTAAAAAAGAACATTCCTCACCCATCAGCCCACGCCCAGCTGTGCTATGTACCAAAAAAGTGATGTCCCACCTCACCCTCCAGCAGGCCTGGAGCTTACCTGAACAATYCCAATTGAAGAGGCATCAATGGTCGTTGTCTCTGGCAGAGGATCTAAGTCATCAATCCTCACTGAAAGAATCTGTGCATAAAGAGGTGTCAACTGGGAACTGCAGCAGTGCAAAGGACTCAACACAGCATTTCCCTAATAAACCCTGTCACCATGCAAAAATGATATAATCTAACATTTTACACCTAGCATTTAATATTGGGGGTTAACTGTGGCTTTTTAAAAATAACCTTTTGGCATATAGTCTTTTCCTTTTTGCTAAAATACAGCAAAATTTAAACACAATAAAACAAGTCCACTTTCATATGCCAGACAGAACACAACTCACTGGGAAATGATGAATTATATAGAAAACAACATGTTGGGAAAAAGAAGTACTATGTTAGCATTTCAATTTATAAACCTATCAGCAGTGTCCTACTTCATTATTTTCAAATGAATCTACACATCTCAGCTCATCAAATAGAGACAAACTACCCTCCAGATTTCAGATATGTAGSTGCATTTTAAATTCCCAAATCGATAAACAAAGCATTTTGTTGACTTCCTTCACAGTCATCATGATAAAACAGCAAAGCAATGCTAGTGATAAATTGATGTTTAAAAAATAGGAAAAGCCTCAAAGGGAACAGACAAGCCTCAGTCAAACCTAAACAAGAAATGCTGAGGAGAAACACAATAGCTATTCAGGAATTTAGAACACAGAAAAAGCCCCGTTGGGGTCAGACAAAAAATCCCTCTAATCCAGATTCTCTCCACTCAGCATTCATCTTTAATACTGAGAATAATTTTGTGTCATCAGCAGATGCTGCCACCACCTCTCTATTCACTTCTTTCAGATCATTTCTGAATACAGAGAGCACAATGGGGAAAAAAGAATCCATTATACTCACTAATGGATGGAGACAAAACATGAAAAAACATATATTTAAGCTGAGGCAGAAAAGGAAAAGAGATTTAAATAATCAGAAGAACTTAATTTTTTGTATCTGACGATCAGATATATTTACTACTAAAACATCACACAGTGAAATGGCTGATTCAGTTAAGTCCATGTTTCTTAAAATTCTTAAAATTGGCCCAAAGAAGCAGAAAAAAAAACTGAGAAAAAAAGTAATTTCTTTCATGTCACTGAAGGCCATAAACATTCTTAAAAARAAAWTWAAAAARAAAAGTTCCACAATCCACCAGCCAAACTCACTCACCTCTGGGTGTTTACGCCTCATGTGTCGACTCATGGAYGCCCTGGTAGAAACCTTTGTCCCACACAGCTGACAGCTCTGGGCTTCCACCTTGTCATGGGTGAGCTGGATGTGYTTCTGCAGCATGTAATCAGTGACATACTTCTTATCACACACTGAACATGTCCACTGTTTTCCTACTGGTGGCAGAAGGAAGGAAGGAAAMCCAATGGATGAGCATGGCATTCCCAACGCCTCAACGAGAGGAACAATTTATGTTTGATAACAGGATGGGAAACACTAATTCCAAGACTGGCCAGTCTGAAGCAAAATCAAGGAACAAAACTAAGATATTGCTGCTGGGTACTGCTTTTTAGAGGGTTTACCTGTATGAATCAGCTTGTGAGTCTCCATTGTATTTCTCTCACTGAACGTCTTGCCACAGAGCTCACACATGAAATCTTTGATTCCTGCATGAAAAGCAYATTTGGYACCTGTGAAAGCAGCCTAAAGGTATCTGGGACAATTCTGAGTTTTGTATTAATAATATTAAAAAAAAAATTAAGTTTCACAGATAAAAAACTAGGAGAAGCTCAGCTTCACCAGCTATTTTTATCTAAGCCATTCCACTATATCCAGCAGAAAATAAATCCAAGAGAAACTCACGTGGGAGGTGAAATTTTGGTTTGGGAAATAAACAGCTGAAGACTAACTTAAAAAAACCCCAACACTCTAGATCTACCCTAGACCAAGAACCTAAAAAAAGTAAAACTTGAAACCAATGAAACTGCATTTATTTGTAGAACAAGTGGTCCTGGCTGAGGACAGGACAAAATCTCACTTCTCAAACATAAGAATATGTGTATTTTAATACCTTTCCTCATACTCTCTGACTATTCTAGGTAAGAATTCTCAGAGGAGGCATTTAACTGATTCAGGGCAGCTTTTGTCCATCTTCGGAGTCCTCACCTGTGTGCCTTTTGTAATGCTTCAGCATGTTGACTTTCTGAGCAAATTTTCGGTGACATTCCTTGCACTCGTATTCTTTAATCCCTTTGTGAAGCTTCATGTGGTGACGAAGGGCATGTTTTGTCTTCATTCCTGTGAGACAGAAGGTACAGAACACTTGGGCCATCACTCCCACCTTCAGGGGAGAACTCAGGTCCATCACATTGTTAACCAACAGCTCTACTTTACATTTGCTGTGAGTCCACAGTTGCATGTTTTTAATTGTTTTTAATGTAGCAATGCACATTATTGTTATTATTTTAATTCCAGAAAGAAGCTCTGGCAAAATCTATGTGACCACTGATGAAGAAGCAAAACAGCAGGGACAAGCAAGGACAAAGCATCATTAAAGGTGTCAGATTTAACTGCTGCCTTCCACTAAAATACCAGCTCGGATTTGTTCAAGTCATAACATGAGCAATTAAAAAAGTCAAAGCTGCTTTGACTCTTAAAGCTCTTACAGAGAGAAATTACTCTATTTCTTAAGCCTGTGAACAGCCCAGAATTAAGAAAATCAACTTRCATTCACTTTTGTGCTGCAAATCAGGCATTCCTCTACCTGACAGAAGCAAATGCTACTAAAATCAGTGTTGTCCTACAGGCCATGAAACCAAATTGTACAAAATTAGGGTTGCTCATGTAACCATGAGGCTCCTCATTAATAGTTTCTCCCTCTCAAAAATGCAGGATTTGCAGCTCTCCCAATACTTTCAGCATGGAGGTTGTTTTAATTCAGATATTCACCTGCTACTCAGTATCACAATGAATGGAAAACAAGGCATCAGACATACCTTTGCCACATTCTGCACACAAGTATTCTCGGATATTATCATGGACTCGCATATGTTCTTTTAACATGTCTTTTCTAGCAAATGATTTGCCACATTGCTCACAAGCATGACTTTTTACACCTTGAAAATAAATTTAAAAGACAACGTAAACAAAATAAAAATGTTAATGAGTAATGTGCATCTCCTAAAAATCGATTAAAGTGGTGAATTAGAGGGCAACAGCCCACCTGAGTTGACAACCACACCTTTCATGCATATTGTAGCCCAAACAAAATTAGAAGACTTTGAAGAGAGAGAAAAGCTGGCTTTTTGTGTGAGAAAATAAGAGATAAAGCCTGAGGTAGGAAAAGACTGAATAGCATGAAATAGTAATGAGCTGTTAAAAATGATTTTGCAATAGCAGGTTTCAGCCTGTGTAATGGTRAGAAGGTGGCATGAATAAGAATTTGGGGAAGAACAGAATACAGAATTTGGTGAATCCTGCAACATATTAACTAGGAATTTGGACTGTGTGTCCAAATCAAATCKTCATTAATATTACCTGCTTTAGAAAACTGATATAGTCTAAAAGAAGAAATTTAATATTTATCTTATGTAACTTAGAGTGAAAATCYTCTAGCCAAAGAAAAACCAAAATGCAGACACTGGCAACAGAAATTTCTCTTTAGCATTTGATAATAATAAAGAAACACAACATTTTTACCTGTATGTATAAGCTTATGTCTTTCCAGATTTCCTATACTATTAAAAATCCTCCCACAGATTTCACAAGGATGGATGTATCTGAAACCAAAGAGAACAAAAACTATGATTCTTTTCTTGAGGCAGAGGCGACTCTCAGGCATCATCTCTGTCAGTAAATGTATTTTATTTGCTAATACTAATTCCTACAAAAGTTCCTTCAAGCTTCTAAACTTTTTCTAAATGAGCCTTAAGTAACCTGTAAGTTGACTGCAATCTTACAGCAGTCTGGCATTGCTATACACTCAAAGATTTTAAATATATTTATAAAAATCATTGATTTATACTTTGCAAAGCCCCAAACTGGAGGGCTGCTGACTCCTCAATCTGTGTGAAATCAAGCACCAGCGACACGCGTTTCAARCTTTTAATAATTTTAACCCCCATCACACAGTTCTTTTAGTACAGCCAAATTCTCTAAAAGCAAAATTCTCCAGAATCACTAGAACTCCAAAAAGACAGCTCTCTTTGAGGGAACAAGCCTTACTTCTGCACGTTGGGGTCGGGCAGATTCTCCCTGTGGATGACCATGTGCGCGTGGTACGTGGCCTTCAAGGCGAAGCGCCGGTTGCAGATGCTGCAGCCATAACCCTTCTCCTTGTGCACGTCCATGATGTGCTTCAGGTACTCCTTYCCTCTGCCAAAGGTCAGCTGGGGAATGAACCAATAGTGAATGGAAGGGGGAAAAAACTCCCTGGGGCATGGCAATGACTGGGTAATGCAYGGCCGGGATCTCTGAGCAGATATAAACATCCCCTTCATTGCTAAAATATCCTGGATGGAAAATCTGTGAGAGCTGGATTTAGGCCTGAACCTCTCTGACCATTACAAGCACGCTGCTCCAGGACATCAATTCCCTCTTTAGAAAACCAGCTGGAGATGGTGTCTCACTTCTTCACTGCACAAAAGGKGATCTCAGTTTGTGCACTGAAGAACAGCCTTGAGGAGAGACACTTTTAACTTCCACCAGCTCACCTGGAGTACTGTGAGCAGCTTTGGTCACCAGAATACAAGGAAGATATTAAGAGTGTCCAAATGAGGGCTACAGAGATGGTGAAAAGTCTGGAGGGGAGGCCACATGAAGWGCAGCTGAGTGCACCTGGTCTGCTCAGCCTGGAGAAGGGGAGACCTCATTGCAGTCACAGCTTCCTTGTGAGGGGAAGAGGATGGGCAGGCACTGATCTCTGCTCTGTGTGACAGTGACAGGAGCCGAGGGAATGGCCTGAAGCTGTGTCAGGTTTAGGTTGGATATTAGAACAAGTTTCTCACCCAGAGGGTGGCTAGGCACTGAACAGGCTCCCCAGGGAGCGATGACAGCTCCAAGGCTGACAGAGCTCAAGAAGCCTTTGAACAATGCTCTCAGGAACAGGGTGTCATTCTTGGGGATGGTGCTGGGCCAGGAGCTGGACATAATGAACCTTGAGGATCCCTTTCAACTCAATATTCTGTGATAACAAGGACATCAGATATGGAAAAAAAGTCTTCTGGGCTCTAGGGGCATGGTGAGCTSCTGCCTGCACAGTCAGCTTTGGCAGCAGCTCCAGGAGGGTGGGAATTCCCATGCACTGCTGGGCAGTGACTCTGGCTCAGCTCCTGGAAGTGCTGCACTGCTGAGCTCCAGATCTGCACATCCAGAGGTGCTGCAGAAGATCCATATGAGCTCCAGCACACCCATATGAGCTCCCGCACACCCATATGAGCTCCAGCACACCCATATGAGCTCCAGCACACCCATATGAGCTCCAGCACACCCATATGAGCTCCAGCACACCCCTATGGGCTTCACCAGATCTATATGGGCTCCAGCAGATCCATATGGGCTCCAGCACACCCATATGGGCTCCAGCACACCCATATGGGCTCCAGCCTGTCAGGGGGAAGTGCCATATTGACATCACCTTTTGCTACAATTCTGGAACTAGTCAGGGTATGACAGCACTGCACAGCTTGGTGAAGACATACTTTGGGATCAGAAAAAAAACATAGATTTTTTAAGAGCTCAGAAGAGAGATTTCTCTAAGATTCATCTGTATTTRTTTTCCTTTCAGCTTTTTTCCCCAAGTCCTCACATCAAATCCTATTTCCCACAGTGGTGCCCTTACACAACTGTTTACTTTACAAACACCTGCAAAAGCACTAAAAAAAAACCCCAGCTTCCAAAAATAGCTTTCTGATTTGAATGGCCCACCTGCCCTCACTTGGAAGCTCACAGTTTTATATAGTTTATGTACCTGTGAAGTGTCAGGCAGGAAAATCAGCACAATGAAAGCAAGCACATGATCAACTGCTGTGACACCACACCTTCTTACATTTACTGACATAAGCTTAAAATCAGTTTGCTTTTAAAAACAGCTCCCAGATAAGAACAGAAACCTGAAACATTACCTCCAGGTCTCAAAATGAAAATAAAGAACCTTCACCACATTAAGTGTGGACTGTGAAATAAGCTCAGATTTCCAGGGTCAAGTCAGTGGCTTAGCAACCAAAAATCCCCTGTCCCTGTGCCAGTTTTGCTGTTCTCACTGACTGGTTTTGCATCCTTCCTGCCTCAGCACAGTGTGCTCACCCAAAAGCCCTCAAGAACCCTGTTATTTCTTTGCRAAGTGGCAAAAGCCATGCAGTGAGAGGTTTAAAAAGTCTTCYTCTCTCAGCTGACAACTGAGTAGATTGTGTTCCAGCAGCACTTCCAACACCATCCTGTCAGTAATGGAGCAGGGCTAGAATAAGCAGTCACACTGGGCACAAGCAGCAGTCTTACTTCTTCAAACTGGATATTTACTAGAGGACCTTCTGACCTCATAAAAACTCATCAGTTTGTGGACAGAATCAATCAGAAATGCTGTAACCATGTTAAGCTGCACATAATTCAAGGACAGCCMAAGATGTGAGTGCTCCTATATTGATCCCCCTTCCAGTTTTGCTTGTTCCCTTCCACACAGGAAAGTGAATGTATCTGTACTTCCCTTTTCAAGTGTTTAACATCCCTCTTACTGGACAACACCTCAATTCTAAAGTAATAGCCTCAACTTCACAGCTTAGAGGCAAAAACCACTGCAGACCTATGGGCTGGCCTTCCCTTTGAGAAACCCTACTGTTATTTAAAATTCTGAATGATTTAYAGACACCTCCACTCCCTCCCCCATCCCCAAAACAAGTTAATTTGAAAGTATTTAAAGCTACCTGGCACCTTTTGCAGCTATACTTGTGAGGCTCAGAATCTGCACTTTCATCAGAGTTGTCRTCATTTTCCTCTGATGAGATTCCAATTTTACCAATGAACTCTTCCCTCTGGTGATCATCCATTAGGGCTATGTCCTGGGTAGAGTGGGAAAGAATATTTTGTTTTAATAGATAWAATTTCTTCAAAAGGTAATCCATAGTCACCTTTTGATGCCATGCAAACTGCTTTGCTTTAACAACTACTGTAATATTATTCATTTGAATTCAAAACAGTTTCTCCGGCAATGATCACACAAGGAATAACTATTTATTCAAATGACTAATATTAATTTTTTGCATATAATAAGAACTTTAATGTAAAGACATTCAGCTGGTACAATATTACATCTATAAAAGSAYCTTTATGAGCACCACTGAGTGATAWAATTCCCTTTTAATTTAATTCCTTATAATTCAGTGTTGTCAAAACAATCTGCCTTTTCTAATAATTCATTAGAAATTCATTAGGTATTAACACAATACCTTAAAATGGACATGAATATGATCTCTCAACACATCCACCCTGAAAAATTTGCGTCCACAGATCTCACACGTGTATTTCTTGTCTCCATGTGTTAAAAGGTGTTTGTTCATATTGCTTCTACATGAAAATACCTAAAAGGAAAAGAGAAGGGAAGAAGGATTTTTGGATCATGACCAGCAGGGTACAGTTCTTTGCAACTTATCCAATGGAGAGCACAGAACACATTTACTGTCTTTTTTATTCATTCTGGCCAGAAACATGAGCAGCAGCTCCTGTGAGCCAGCCAGCAGGCTGCCTCAGAAACTGCTGGCATGGCAAAATCCAGGGGCACAGCTCCAAGGAACTGACTGAAACTGGCCATTCATCAGAGGTGGAATTCCAAAAAAAGCTGCAGCAGAATTATACAGGGCAGACCTTGAAATATTTAGACAGTGTCTTTTGACTCATGGATTTTCCATCTATTTCTAAAAAGATATAACCACAAAATCTACCTTGACTGATAGGAAACACATCCAAAGCATCAAAACCAGAGGTCTACACATGAACTTAAGAGTCCTTGAGTACCTTTGGCACCATGAATCCTTAAGTATTTATAAAATCACCAGTTAAACCCACACTCTTTGTGATAGCAGCAACTTAAGATCACAAGTGTTGAGCACTCAGATGCAACCATGCCATGACGCCATGAATTCACTTTTATTAAAGTGAATAAAGGATTCATGGAATGATGGAAAAGGATTCCCAATGCACACAGTCAACTCCAGCTGTTCACAATCAGCCAGAAAAACTCCACTTCATGTAACATAAGCCATGAGGTAGGTTCCAGTGACACACACAGTGGCCATGTGACATTCTACATTGTGCTCCATGTCCTGAGAACAGTTCCAGCCTGAACCAGAGTTTTGTTCCTGTCTTTGTCCTGACAGCTCCCACCACCCATGGCCACAGCTTGGATAAATCATGGAGCCATGGGTTTTTAAAGAGGAATGTCTTCATTGATCTCCACACCCTCCCTGGGCAGTTGTTCCAAAGCTCTGCCACCCTCAGTGTGAGGAATTTCTTCCCCATGCTAAGGTGGAACTTCCTGTGTTTTACTTTATGGCCGTTGCTCCTCGTGCTGTCGCTGGGCACCACCAAAAGAACCTGGAACTGTGCTCTGACACCCCCTGGAAATATTTAAAAGTRTGGATGAATCCCCTCAGTCTTTTCCTCCTCTGCAGCACCCCTGAAGCTACAATGCAGAGCTTTCTATGGCACACCTGGCACGAGCTCCTACCTTGCCACACACGGGGCACCCCGAGGGCTCCTTCTTGTAGCGAACCATGTTCTCCGTGCTGTGCTCAAAGTCTTCTCTCTTCACACGCCTCACCCCTTCACACAACAGTCCCCATCGAAAAAACAAAACCAAGAAATAAACCATGGCTTTCCATTCCAATCCTTTTCAGRAGGAGACTGGAAAGAAGAGTGAAATGCTGGGAAGGGTCTCAGTGCAGGGTTTAATTGTTAACCAAAAGGTGTTGTCTAAACTAAAATGAAAAGAATATAGAAGCAGTCTGCCAAAGTGATATACTATGGCTTATTGGTTATTAAACCAACTGGAAAGTGTCTCAAAACACTTGTGTCAAAACCATTTCTGTCAACGCCAGGGAACAGGCAGATCTAACAGGCCTTGGCACTTTAATCTGGTACCTGGCCCAGAAATTGCCCCTCACTAAGAAGGAAGATAGGAGAGGGCGTCTCTAAGGAGAGATGCAACCACCCAGCACAAGCTTTAATGYTCAAAGAGGATTTCAGACATCTTTCTCTGCRACTTTCAGGRGGGCAWAGGGCTCCYGCTCTTCTGTGASAGCTACAAATGAGACACAGCCAGYGTCATATAGCCCCTTGTCCTCTGAGTCTCCCCGGTTCACGACACAAATTAGACAATCTGGCCTCTTTTAAAAAAATCACCTTTGGTTTTATTATCTAGGTCACTAAAGGCATTCTAATACATATTTGGCAATCTACCAACTTTTCCCAGTCTTTGAGTAACATCCTTAAATGCTTGAGATTTTGACCAGTAAACTCTCATAATCTTATTTTCATCCATTTTCAAGYGTTTCAAAGGCAACATCCCCCAGCATTMCATTGACACTACATTTACATAGCAKTCACCTTYAGCTGTACATGGCAAATTAACTCTCTGCCTTCAGATTTGMAAGTTACCACACAAATTTTGAAAAAGGAAGAACAGAATGCAAAGAAAGAAAAAGATATAATTAAAATCAGCAAGTCTAAACTGCTGCATAATAAGCCATGCAGCTTTCACGTGACTGATCTCATTGGACSCACTACTGCTATTTTTCATAAATGTCACATTTTGCTGAAACTTGCAACTCTTGATCAGGTAACTGATAATAAYAATTTTTAAAACAGACAGCTATCATCCAGAAGAATGTAATGCACACAATCCTTTCCTTAAGCTGCCCACCTGTACTGCTGTTTCAAGAGTAATAATTAGGTTGATCTGCAGTAAACTTACCTTCCAAGTGACGTCTCTGATGGTCCAGCATGACATCCTTCCTGTAGAACATCTTGTTGCAGATCTCACAWGCAAACTTCTTATCCCCGTGCTTTTTCTTGTGTTTTGAAAGGTTRCTGTTTGTGGAGAAGAATCTGAAACACATCTCACACTGGAATGTCTTGTCATCTGTAAGCAAGAGAAACCAGGCAGCTCTTTACAGGTGAAAAAAGGGTTTGTGTGTTTGTGAGACAGGTGGTTCTTTGTTGGATCTGGATTTTAACAWGTAATCCACTATTATGATCTAAGGGCAATTACCTGGACGATTCTAGACTGAACATTATTGTGGGACATAAAGTAACCAGGATGTCCTTTTCTAAGCATAAGATCCCTCAGCATAAATAACATGAGTAACCACAAGGGATGGCTATGGGAGAGAAGGACAGGTTGTAGTGCTACTAAAGAAAAAAAACATTTACAGACTACTGCAAGTATAAAGCAGGAGAAAGCTGAAGAACACTAATCTCAGAAAACTACWAACTATCAATAATACTGTCTCCTTCCCTCTGTTTCACAGGAATGAGGTGGAACTTAGTTTCAGGGGGAAAAAAAATTAAACAAAGAGAATGACGCATTATCTGGGAACAAATGAAACACCAGTRAGAATATTACACAGGTGAGCACGAGATACTAAAAAAAAACCTAATTCCTAAGTGGATGGGAGCATGAGATACTAAAAAAATCTAATTCCTAAGTGGATGTGTTGCTCACAAATTATTGGTTACGTTTTTCTTACAGAAAAAAAAAACCTTTTCTTGAAGGAAGCAGGGCAGGTTGCTTCTTATGATCATGACAAAAATCTAAATCCCTACTCCCCTTCTATAGTTTCTCTGCTGAGATAGATTTGGGGTCATTGTCCCAGAATGAAGCAGAGGTGCCAGAGGAACAGTTATCCATTCTCACCTGTCCTGCAGTTGTGGAATTCCAGTGCGCTCTCTATCCGAAAGGCCTTTTCACAGGTGGTGCACTTGTACCTGTACTCACTGTCCACCTGAGGATCACAAGCAGGAAAAGCCAAGTCATGTCTGGCAGAGAAATTCTAAATCTCAAATACTACTTGTGTTTTCTATACTTTCAAAATTTTTATTCCATCAGGAGGGGCATTTAAATACGCATTGGTGTAAATGCTGTATCATCCTGCCATGTTCCTACAGCTGAGCTATAAAAAAATCCCAAAAGCTGATGCACCTCTGGGGGTGGAACATCTTCCTGATATTCCCATGGTCCAACACAGAGCTGGAATGTTTGAGAAGTAGGATGTGATCTGACTCATACTCCAGAAGAGATGGCAGCAATCTGAGAGCTAAGCACCTTGGTGCCAAGCAACAATGGAAATATTCACTAAGAAAGTGCCACTATGGGTGTGTTTAACATTTCTACAGCAGCAGCATCAAAAGGCAGAGTCCACATACTAAAGGAATGGCAGGTGGGGAAAAATGAAACAGGAAAAGGAACAAGACTGCAACAGTCCTATTTAGCACCACAACTCAAGTCAGATTTCACCTCTGTATCATGTATCATGCAGGTCCAGCTAATTCCAGCTTGCCTTGCTGGAACTGATGTCTGAAAGCAATTTGCTACAGGAAAAGGGTTTGAAYGTGCCCAAAAGCACTTTGCAAATTCATCAATTATTGCAAGAGAAGATGTTTACATTCCTTCTCTTCCTCACTCATGTGATACCTGCTCACAGGGAGCTGTCCAGCCCACACCTGGGATCTCACCATGCCTTTCCACATAAACCCTGCCAGGACCTGAAAGCTGTTGCCACTCACTTCATTCCTGCTGTGCTTGTATGACACGTGCTGCTTCAAGCTCTCCTTCCTGCTGAACAGCTTTGCACATTCCTCACATTTAAACAGTTTGTCACCTGAGGGGATCAATCAAAAGGGAAGTAGTCAGTGATTGCTAATTACCAACTCCAGGCAAGACAGGGAAACCAAAGCACAAGCAGCTTCAAACAAACAGGCTAGTGATGAAAAATTTAGTGAGTCAGGAGACCTAAATAGTGWGTTTTAACGATTTCCAACAGATTTGTTTAGCTCCTGCACGCTTTTTCAGTGATTTTTTCATGGAACACTTAGAACAGGCTACAGACCCTTGGAACTGAAGATCACAAGTGGAAAAGCACCCAGCTGACATTTACACAGCTGTGTTACCCKTAGGAAGGTGGGGGAGATATTTATGTCTATATATGAAGGAAAGAATAGCTTTGGAAAAAACATCACATCCTTGCCCTCATTTAAAAGATGTACCTAATTCCAATTTTAAATACTCRAAACTTCAACTTTCCACCATTATCTTCTTTGGTCTGACATTCACCATCATGTTTTGGTCTGAAAAATTAAAATAGTTTTCCAGAGGGAGTTAAAAGAAAGAAAAAAGCAAAAACAGCTCTCTTATAAATATGCATCCCGATATCTAAAATGATCCCTGCTGTTTAATTCAAAGGTGGAACCAAGACACAGAATCAATGCCCAGGCCAGGGAAAAGCCAACCCACCATGAGAACGGATGTGCCTGCTGAGGTTGCTGCTGTTCTGGAAGATCTTACTGCAGATGCTGCACTGATAGACCCTCTTGTGCTCCCCCAGCTGCTTTATCAGCTTCCGCCGAATCCCGTGTCTACTGGAGAGAATTAAACTTCTTTTGAGGGACATGGTGTTTTGGTGATGAGCAAACCTACTGGATTAGAGAAAAAGGCAGGGGCTGAAAGCTATCCAACAGAGTTCATCCAGCTGGCAAAAGCTAGAGGAGCGTTAAGCAGGAGGGAGGGGGCCTGGATGGAACTTCCCCAGCTCCAAGGTGCCCCCCTGGCCACCCCCTCAGAGCTGCTGATGTCCCTCACTCCAAATTATCTTCACCCACCACRAAAGAGATTGAAAAGCAGCAGCAGAAATTCTCTTTGCCAGCCCCTCAGAGGAGCAGCAAGGATCTGTTCTGCTCCTCCTCTGAAATCATCAGCACTGTCTCAGCTTGGGAAGCTTGGCAGCCCCCACGCAGAAGGTGCACTTGGGCAGAGGGCAGCAGGGTGCCAAGCAGCAGTGCTGTGCCATGTCCCAGCACAACCACTGCTGAAATGCTTTTTTGATRGCTTTGTGTCTGCTCAGGACTTCAATATATACCATTACTAGCTAATTCTGAAAAATTGAGTACTCTATTATACAAAAAAACCCTACAAAAGGCCAATTTTACCAAGACAAAAAGACAGAAAAGAATCTGAATTAATCAAGTGATACTTGAGAGTCTCCCTGAGGTTCTGTTATACTGAAGTTTCCCCCTCCCATTGCTCTAAATCTGAAGTATCACATGCAAAATCAACATGAAGTCATYCATGAGTTAAGATGACAAGTGAGACTGAATAATAACAATGATTAACATATTCTTAAAGAAAAAATTCCTTTTACTCTCATTGAATGTTAGTGATCAGACAGGCAATTTCACCTTGCAGCTGCAGGAGGCTTTTGGAAACACTGAATTAAAGCAGTAACATAATGAAAAATGAGAATCTCATTTATGCCTCTCTACCACCAATATTTCACCATTTCCAGTACACAAGCCATCTCTGTGGCACTCAAAATCACCTCTTGCAGGAGCAGCAGCAGCAGCACATAATTTTATGCTGATAAAAAAGAGCATTTGTGGGCCCAGAATTCCAGCAGAACTGCTGCATGCTACACAATCTTAGCTAAAACTAAGAGGAAATTCTGTATCCCAGAACACTTACTTTGTCACTGAGCTGATGCTGTTTGTGGTGCTGGGCACCTTTCCTAAAACCAAATCCATAATCCTCTCTTCTGGAGCTGGAGGCAGGGCCACCTCCTCAGGAGGGACCTCAGCGACAGGGTCAGCCACACGTTCCACTGCAAACACAGCACAGAAATAAATACAGGAGTAATGTGGACAGSTGGGAGTAAAACCTCAGAAGCAGAATTTGTAATAGGATATGGCACTGGACAAGCTAATCGTCCACAAACATGTTCACAGAATCACAGAACAGTGTGGGTTGAAAGGGATTCTTATAAGTCACTTCACCCAACCCCCTGCCATGGGCAGGGACATCTCACTTTCTTCTGACCTCTTGYCTTTCAAATCTATTACTGAAGGGTCAGCTGACCATAGATCATGGAATTTCCTATTAGAACATCCCTTCAAGGGATGTAAGGAAAGTAAGATCCTTTCCAGACTAAACCTTAAGGCAGAAAGAGAAAGACATCTCTTGAGAGGAAGGATGCTTCCTCTCCTGTTCCTTCCTGCAGGTCTCATAATCACCAGCCTGTGTTTCTCTGGGGCTCTCCACAAACMATCACAGGAGAATGCAGGTGATCTGAGTGTGGGTGCTGCAACAAAGCCCTCAGAAATAATTAACAAAACTTGTGAATTGGGAGCTTCAGTGATGTCTCTAAAAACATCCATATTGTCTCTCTGCTGCTTTTCAGACCTTTCTGCATCAACACAGATRTATAAGTAGATATACTGCTTAGCATTTTCTAGGTTTCTGTTTTACCTGCAGAATCCTTCTCCTCATCKATGACAAGAGGTGTTTCTGTTTTTGCTGTTTTGGCCTTTCTYCCCCTCCTGGCCTTTCTCCTCGAGTCTGTGCTGGCACTGGCTCCATCACTCGCCACAGGCTGATCCGCTGGGGCAGCCTCTGCTGCTTTCTCTGCTTTCTCAGCATCATTTTGGCTGCTTGGGGGGACACCTTTGGCTTGTTCCAGGTGGCTCAGCAAGTGCTCTGTGTAGAGAGGGAAGAACAGGAGAGTAAGGAAGAAACCATCCTTTAAATACTCAAATGGAACCAGCTGAAGCCCATCTAGCAGGACCATCTCACTTTGCAGGGACACACTTCAAATAATTTCAAAAGCAGTCACAATACCTTCATAAATCAAAGCATATTTATTAAATAGTCATAAGAACTGAATTTTTAAGGAGATTTGTTAGATATCACAGTAAAAAGTTTCTGTTTCTAACAATGGGTACGTTTTTACAAATGCCCAAGTTATCCACTGACCTAAATTACGTTTTCAAAAATAATTCATCACATGGCCGAAGCTTCTAAATATTCTAAGTTCTCCTGAAAACTGCATAAAATAGCTGCAAATGAAATGCAGAAAAAAGAATGTACTTTAACACCTTTACTAAATCTGTGCCATAAATACCAGATGGACAATATAAAAAAGTATAACCTGGCATCACTGACCCTCACAGTGCTCATGCAGCTCCTTAGCCTTGATTTTCCTGATGGTCACATCATCTTCTAGACAAGTTTTATTTCTTCTAGACTCAGCATCACTTTTSTTTGTGCAGAGACTGACCACTGCCATGGTAAAAATATCCAAAATATCCCTGCTCTACCTTCCCTATTACTCTTTTCCTTAAAGGAACATGAAATTTAAAACTTTTATCTCACTGCACCATGGATGGTGCATGGCTTCACAGCTGTGGAAGAGCAGAATTCTGCTGATTTTCAGTGCTCTCCCATGAATTTCTAGCACTTCCTACCTGTCAGCAGCTGGGGCTCTTGGAAAGCAGATGAGCACACTTTACACGTCCAGTGGTTGGGCTTTGCTTCTGCTGTTCCACTGCCTTCTGGAGTGTTCACTAAATCACAACAAGAAATACTGAAAAGCTTTGAAAATGGGAAGGTGGCAAACCCCTGCAGCTTTGTTTATCTTGCACTAACTCCCTGAGTACCACCAGGTACAATTTAAGCAGCAAGAGGCCCTTGGGGGCAGCTGGGACCACTTCAGGGTTTTCCAAACATGAAGAGTTGAAACATCAGAAAATATGAATGATGCCAGGACAGACTACCAATACTCTTGTAAAGTCCTGAGGGCTCCTCTATCACTTTCTAAAGAACAATGCTCGTAAAAGGCACAACATAAAGCAATTTTTAGCACCTTTAAAACCAGAGTTACCAGTCTTCTTCTGAGTCATCTGAGGAGAGAAGCAGGAGAAACCTCCCTGCTCTCTGTGAAGGGCATTGCAGAGTAAGAACATTTGGATTAATGGAAGTAAGCGTGAAGACAATGAAAACCTGGGTTTGTGCTGTGAAATCACCACATTAATACTTTAATTAACACATYAACTCAAGAAAGGTAAAGAAAACAAAGAAGAAATTAGGGCAAAAATGAAACTGGAATTAAAAAAGAACAGGAAAAAATAGTCTGTTCATAGTCCTTTGTATTTTAGTCCTTGGRTGATATGTTTGAATTTCTCAAGAGGATCTGATAAATCTGAACTGACTCAGAGATTTTGTTTGGCACACAAAAAGCTGAATATTCCACAGTGTATAAGACTCCTCCAGAGGTGGATGACACTGAAGTCAGGGTAAGTGAATGGCAACAAAGGGAATTCAAACTGCGCCTCAGTTTCTGCCACAGATTTTCTGGCTGACCATTACATGTCAGTTCATCTCTCTCTGACTGAGGATCCCATCTGTAAAGGGACAGTAAAGTTCTTCCTTCTTTTCAGTGTTGGCTTTKAAACTGAAATAAAGGATTCTCTGAGGCAGAGGTTATTTCCTGCTGCAAGTTACATTCAACACACTGCACCACAGAGGTGCGATCTAATCCATGCTGAAATAAAYAAATAAGAAATGACTTGGCAACACAGCAACAGAAGTTTATTCTTCACAGGATACATAAACAACTTCTTGAGGGCTCTGTCCAGGAGGACAAAACCAGCAAACCAAGATTGTGCCTAAGCTAATTGTCCCTGACTCTGCACTTCCCTCGCTCCTTAGTTGTTCCTTGCACTGGTTTGTCAGGAAGAGTCAGGTCCTGTTGAATCTCCCACTCCCTCAGCCTTCCAGGGCAGCTGCAGGGCAGCCTGACTCGGAACCACAGATCTGACAGCTGGCAGCTACTTTGTATGGCTTGGGGCAAACAGAACCAAAAGAACATTTTGTTTTGGAAGCACCAAAACACCAGTGGGAACACTTCAGGGTTCCCAAAATATAACAGGAAGCATTTTGCTCCTACTGGAGTTGGACTTTCAGGCAGTAGGGTGAAGGATGTGGGAGGGCTTGTTCCAATTATTCATTTTACCCCCAGAAAATCAATAATGCCAAACTAAAAGACAGCTCCCCAGCTGACTTCACAATTCAGCTGTGACAAATCCAAGCAGACAAATGGATCTACTGATTAATGGCTCCGTACACACCTATAACTTTCCTCTCTCCTCCTGGCTACTTTTACTATTAATAAGCAAAATTTAGGAAAATAACATCTAAAAGAGCAGACCCAGAATAGTTTTCTTTTGATCCTGTGTACTCTGAGTGTACTTTGGCAAATGTGTGTTAAGTGGGTTCTTAATTTGACTGTCCCACTTAGCAGAGAGTGGGAGGTGGGAGMACTGCTCCATAATGAATCCTTGGGACAGAGTTCCTGTGACACCACTAGGTATTTCCTCAGCCACATGTTCTTTACCAAGAGGATATGTACTGCTTKTAAGTTGATTTAAATTGGAGTTTATGTGATCTAGAACAGACTGAACTCTAACAGCAGTATATACTGTGGTATTATTGTAATTTGGGGATGGCCAGTGTTCTTGTCRTTTYCAGACATKTGCCCAYAGCCTTATGTTTTCTTCTAGAAGCTGACCTGATCATTTGAATTATTATACTTTGCATAGGCAGAATGAAGATTTTCTTTGGGACTGTCCCCATCCCAACTCTAACCACCTCCAAAGTCAGCAGCAGTTGTGGTTCTCATGAAAATCATCTGCCTAAAAKTTTATTGGCCCCTCTGTCACTTTTTAACTTGTATGTACTTTAGACACTATGTCCACAAAAATGAAAAGAAAAATCTAGACTTCCCAATCCTCTCTGAATTAGTATTTGTCAAAGTTATACATCCACGATATATGTGCAGCAGTGTTACACCGAACAGCTCTGCAGACCTGTACCTGTCCTCTCTCTCTCTCTTAAAAGCACTGTAATTTTGCCTACCTGCKGGGTCAGCTGCTAGCATGCTGGATTTCTTGCTTTTTTTATGGGGTAAGACAGCAGATGAAGGCTTCAAAGAGACCTTATTACTCCCCTCTTTATCAGATTCCATCGCTGCCAAGGACGTATCTGTGAAGAGGAAAAACAGTTCATCTTCTTTACTTTCCAGACCCTCTGACTCTTGCTCCGAGGGCAGTAACCACTGTCAAAAATTTTGTACTCTTTAACAGGCTTGAAAATAACATTTTCACTTGAATTTGAACCAAGAAATTCTTATACCTGAATCTCACTCAACATGCCTTAAATACTGTGGAGTGTACAGTGAAAGCACTGAACAGAGAGGGMAGGACATACTTAAACAGTATTTTTAAATAGCCATCACCCCAGAAAAATACACAAACAGGTTAAAGAAGAAAATTATGAAACCTCTCAGTTAATATCAATTGGAAACATCTCAGAGTTCAGAAACCTATTAACTGCATTGATCCAGCTGTAGCACTTGACACTCTGCTTACAATCAAGGTCAGCCACAAAGCTGACGCTGATGCAGTGGTCTCTCCCCAAGCATTTGTCACCCCAAATTACACCCAGCAGAGCAGTAATAACACCCAGGGAGTACTCCCAGCTCAAGAGCAGGAAGAAAACACCCTTGCAATGCCAAAGGACCTTGACTTTCATCTRCAGAAATGGAAAAGCAGGAGAAAACAAAGGGGCAAAGAACAACAGACATGTGGCAATTTCAGATTCTAAAATATCTGCTGTCTTTCTTTCCAATGCATTATCACATGGATCTTACTCTGGTGGGTCCCTGAGGCTGCTTAAGACAAATGGTAGTTTTTTAGAACCATGTAACAGTTCTGTGCAAAACCAAAACATCTCCACTGCAACTGAAGAATGAAGAAAAATGGTTTCTTGAGCAAATGTGCATAGATTCTTCTGATACCTGAGCTCTTTTGCTGCTCCACCCAGAAATGGTTTTGGTACAATCACCAATTCTTCAGCTAAGGACCATTTATCCAGTTTGTTCACTCTGAAGAGGCTGAACCATTACCTAGGCCACCTGCTTTTAAAAAACCTGGCTGTCTCACAATGAAGAATCTACGCTTTCCTCCTGCAGAGCACCCACGTGTGCAAGCTGGCCTGACTCTGCAGGATAAGAGCCTACTGGATAAACAGCACTGTCCACTCCAACAGGCAGGGACTATCAGTCCCTGCCAGCACTGGGCCCTTAGGAAGGAAGAAAGGCCCCCACACATACCATTGGCAACACTAGTGACCTGCTTCAGCACTGGCTTTTCCATTTTTTTGGCGTAAAAAGCTGCATACCACACTCGCAGCTCAGTTCCCGGGGGGATGTCCTGGCAGGTGGTGAAGTAAATGTCATTGTCATGCTGGAAGGCAGTTAAGTTTTGATGCTCATACTCGGTGGCTGGGCGCACCATCATCATCCAGTTGCAATCATCTTCGTTTGTGGTGTCAAAATAGACCAGGGGCCCTTCCTTCTGGAASACCTGCCAAGAAAAATGTGCACAGAATAAAACCTCTAAGAAATGATACAAAGTTAAGGGAAAAAATATTATTTTCTGCTTTTGCAATGGTTTCTTTCCAGTGTACATCAGGGACAAAGCAAGCCTCAAGTCTTGCATTAGGCATGTTTCATTGAGTCACACCTTTAGATGAGTAAGTCTGAGACAGACAAGATGGGAACAAAGTGAACCCCTATCATAAGAATTCTTGTTATAACCACCAGTTTCTCAAAAAAATTACTGGACACATGAGAGTGGAGGAGAATCCAAACTGCCATAAGCTGAGGTTACATTTCTGAATCTTTACTTCTGACTTAGAGATTACTGAAAACTAAGACAGAATTTCATTTTTAATGTAGCATTTTTCCTACCAAAACTTGTCAAGAGAGGAATAAAACAAAGGCAAGACAGGAAAAACCCCACTTATTCTGCATATTCCATAAAACTAATGCACACGTAGCTCATTAGGCAAATTCAATCAAATTGAAGAGACTCATTAAAAGAGMTGAGCTTCTAGTTTGGTTCTTCCATTCCTTGCTCAGAGAATCTTTCTTTAGCTCCCCCTTTACAGGGCACACCTTAAAGATGTTCCAGATAATCCCCCCTGCACGCATCTTTCTTTCCAGAGAATGAGACAGCATTAGTTCATCACAGGTTAAACTCACTCAGTGTAATTGTTTTTTGTGTTCTGTGCCTTACCTTCAGGGGGAAAACTGATTCTTTCTCCAGCTTGAGAACTCTCTTGGATTCAAAGGGGCCAAACTGGGTACGTTTCACCAGCTGAGTCAGAGCAAACACRCCCTCAGTCCCATCCTCCAGCTGTCTTATCTCCAAGTTAGAAGGCAGAGATGATCTAAACATTGAAGAGAGAATTGATGGGAAAAAATAAATCACAGAATCAATCAGGTTGGAARAGACTTCTGAGATCATCAAGTCCAACCTTTGGCTGAAYACCACCTCATGCAGCAACAGTTATGCATTTAGTTATGCAAGAACCCAAGGAATAAAGAAGTCARCATTGATTTCTCCAATCTCTGGTAGCAGCAAAGCCTTCTGATCAATACACCCTAAGTTCTGTGAGGATTTATAAATAGAGGGGAACAACTACCAGCAGTGGAGGAGGCCCAAATCAATGACTACTTGAGAAAGCTCAATCCTGATCTCTCATCTAAACCTACTCKCTCTCAGTTTAAGACCATTCCCCCTTGTTCTGTCACTACAGTTCCTGATGAAAGGTCCCTCTCCAGCTCTCTTGCAGCCCTCTGCACAGCTGAAAGGCTGCTGCAAGGTCTCCCTGAARCCTTCTCTTCTCCAGGACAGCACACAAAAATGAGAAAAATGGGCAGTTGAGCATGGATGTTAGCTCTCACTGGAACTCCCTGAGGCCTCTTCTAAAAAAATTATCCTCTGACTCTACAGATCTTCGGTTGTGATCATGCTTATTTTAAAAAATAACCTCTATTCCTCCCCAAATTAACACTTTGCAGACTTATGCAGATCATAGCCCTTAAGATGGAAATTTTCCTTCTGTCTTGTAGCTCCCTTATTACAAACACTGACACATTGATGACAAGTACTTCTGTGCTCCCAGCTTCTCTCTTTTCCCAAACAAGCTTCTGGGAAGAACGTATGTAGTAAATATTGTTACTATACATAATACACTGAGAATATCTTCCCCAAAAAAAAATCACATGACTGGCCCCACCGTTTTGGTTTTACAGACCAAATGCAATTCTGTTTTTGCAGCTCTGTGCTAACAGATGGAAAGGTAAAAATAATGTGACAGGCTACTGGCTACTGTGTAGGAGTTGACAGTGGCAGAACTGCTTTACTGCCTAAATAAAGAGAACTACAAAAAGACTGCAATCATAGTGATAAGCTAATGAATTGAAAAAAAATTATTTCAGTTTGCATCATGAATATGCGGTGTCAGAGAAGTTCAGCAGATGTTTCTCAACACTTCTAATGATAAAGCATCCATTTTATCTTTTCARTAAGACAGAGGGAACAACAAACATGTGGTTAAGCAAGTAGACTGTTTTTAAAAGATTCATATCCAGTTTGTGGTTAAACTCGCCCTCAACCTCAGATAATTCACTTTCAGCTACTGCTCCCGAGATGTAAAGTAAAGGCTGCAATTATATTTCTCCTTTCCTTTTCTTATCTTACCTGATTCCAGGTGTAAACTCTACAGGAAAATAAGTACATTTATCTGTAAAATGGTCAATTTTAAATTCSGCTTTCAAGTCTACTGTCCAGCAGCCCACACTTCCACTAGCGAAAACGGCCAAAGGAGACTGAAAACAAGTGCATGCACCATATTTGCAAACATTCCCCGATGGAACATCTGGACACTACGGTAATTTTCCACTACACAAAAAGCAAGAGTAATAGATTAAAAAAAAAAAAAAAAAAAGTAGGAAATAATAGTTTAATTTGTCATCAAATCTGTGTAGTACAGACTACAGAGTTACTATACTGCCCAGTGTGTAAGAAAAAAACACCTCCATCCCAAACTCTCTATTATTTCAAGGGGTATTTTTAAATTACCCTCAAGCACCTGTATTGTCAGGGCTGTTAAGCATTAACAGCTACTGCAGGGGATCATCCAGGGCAGGTTTCCAGGCACAGGAAGGCAGTTCCTGACAGGAAGTGCAGGGAAATTCCTCTTCTGGGAAGGCCCAGAAAGGCAGGGACAGCTCCYGCACAGGTGCAGCCACTGTACACAAGACACACCAAGTGCATCCTSCTCAGGCCAAAGAGTCACAGCACTYACGTGGCAGATCCAGCAATCCAGTRTTTGTTACWAAATTATCCTGGGAATRCRCAGCACGGCCTACATAGCCAGGATGTGCCAGACTTGCTGCCCACGTGCCTSTTTTCTGCCTGTGACTTCCCAAGAAAAAGTATGGAAGCCCCACACACATTACATAACACACCAATCCATCTGAACATTTCCCTTTTTGGATCTTTACTACATCTTCACAATAGTTGGTTCTTTTCCTCAGCCTTACATTTTACACCTTAATATGAATTTTGCTGACAGCACCTGATTGTCTTTCCCTGTAAAAATCACCACTCAGTGTTATTTTCTCCCAACTAGATTGAGTCTATTTGTTTCTTTTGGCAAACGCGAATGTTTCTGCTGCACTGTCACAGATTTGCTGACAGAACTATTACCCCTAATCATCTGCAAAAACCCACAATAATGAGAACAACTTGTTTTGCTACTAAGTGGAGGAATGACAGAGTACATAGSAAGCAGGAGGACACAACCATTCACATGAATGAGAAATCCTCACAYACTTCTCTGAAACTAACAGTGTGTATCTGAGCGGGATGAAAGTGGCAGGTACTCAACCACGACTGAAGTCATCACCCCATCTGGCACCACCTGACTCCTTGCCAGAAACCTCAGCAAAGAAACCGAGTCCTGATGAACAGCAAGTTATTTTTTTGGCTTCAATTCAGTGCAGCACTTTAGTGCATACATCAATTTTTCTATTTAATCAAGGCCATGTGCTTYCTGTAGATTTCTGCAGTCTCCTGGGACTTCACTTTCCAGCTGTCAGTGTTGACATCCACTGAGCAGCAAATGTTTTAAARGACTAACACAAACATTTCTTACCTTGCCCTGCTCAATACAAAGGAGTCTTTGACTGTCACCACCGGGCCCAGCTCAGGACACTCTGAATCATGGTACTGCCCACAGTCCTCACACCCTGTAAGGAAGCAAGACAGGAAASGTTGATGGAAAACACTTTTGTAAGRTAAGTTTCCTCCCTCTTTCAAGAGAAACCTTGCACCAGGCCAAATAAATACAAACGTAGAGAGGCAGATGCTTATTTATATTGCTTAAAAGAACATGAATAATTGAACACCAAGCTGATAGCTGGCACCTGTGTAGGTGAGATAACACACACTATGATCAGTGCCATCAGGAGACAACTGTTTAAAGTCTCTCTCAAAGGAAAATAATTACCTACGTCCACAGTAAATATTCTGCTTAAAGATTTCATTATTCTTCAGATAGAGCAGCTAAAGAAAACCACACCACTGCCTCCCCCAGGAGCTGRATGTTATAAACAGGGTAGGGTGGTGTTTCCAGTGACAGGAGCAGCAGAACTGGCACCAGCACTCTGGGAGCCCAGCTCTGCCYGGCCACACACACTTCTCCCCCACAGGGCAGCACAGAGACCTCCAAGGTACCTTCTGGTGCTTTTCCAAACAAGTCAGCTGGCTGCAAAACAGTTCTGGCCACTTAACTCACCGTCAGCTTACCTAAATTAACTTYTAGTTTAAGTGGCTGTAAATCACTCAGAACTGAGTGGTTCCTAAGAAACAATTTTCAGATGAGGATAATTTGAGGCTTTCTAAAATAAGCTAACTTAACAGGATTCCAAATGCTTATACATGGCTCCACTGGGAAAAAATAGCTGTCAAACTGCCCTGCCTGGTCAGCTGCTGACACAGCTTCACAAGAGATCAACACACAGGGGTTATATTGCTGTGGTGCCTTCTCCATCTGAGCTCCACACTTACAAGGACACCCAGAAAAGGTGCAAAGTAGAGGATTATTACACCATTTTTGGGATGACAAAAACTATGTCATTTCAAGGTATATCCCCTCTGGTAAAGCTACTCTGTGCTTCTAACCGGTATACCTCCCCCAGGTATTCATCCCAGTGAACAAAAGGACTTCTGAAACAAGGGATCTCAAAGTGCTTCATGTTTCTTCTGGCAAATTAAAACCAGCCTGGCTGTGAAAATACACATATATTTGACACAAAGAGAATTGCAGCCTGGTCACTGCCTCCTGTAGAGCTGTTTGAGCTCTGGTGAGCCAAGGAACAAGACMATCAGCTCTTCCCATCATTTTTCAGCAGAATGAACTGTCCAGTCTGGCTTGCTGCTGTGTCAGAGGAAAGGATCCATGAGCAAGTGCTGTCCACAGAGCAATGGCATTAGAGCTCAGCCTACAGCTGTCCTGTGCACTGCACCATATTCCACAATTCTCTGGCTGTGAAACACATATTCAAGGGTGTTAATTATGGGAGTGCACAGTGTCATTTATAACAACTTTTTCAGAACATAAGCAGTTCCTATATCCTATGGGAAACACTTAATTATGAAGAGCATAAGAAAAAGATCAAGATATTCAATGACCACAGTCGAGAAAATCATGTTGTGTGACACCTTYTATCTAATTAGGGAATGGCACCACATCCCCATTCTTTCTGCTGTCCACCAGAATCTTTTCATGAAGGGGAAGGTAAGGTAAACACTATTCTCAGTAAAAATGTCCAGCAGTCAACACTATTTTTGAAGGAATCTGTGGTGGAGGGAGAAGTGGAACTTTCTGACAGTTGCCAAAATGCAGCTGTGGAGCCATCAGAGGTAAAATCCTGTGGATACAAAAGCAAGGAYAYGTGCTCCATTCTGCTCTGCCCTGAYTGGATSCACACCACCTGGGGCCTCTCTYCTCACCCAAGGAGGTGAGTGGACTCTACATCTCTAACTCTTTTCCATCGAGGTCYTGCATGTCCAGGCTGGTGACAAAGGTGAGGGCTGATCCAAACCTGCCAGCCAAGCTCCAGCAAGCACAGGACACTGTCCACCCTGGGCAAAACACTGCTTCAGCCCTCCCTCACCCACCAGGAGCCCAGAGCCAGGTCACAGAGCCCAGCTTGGCACTCAGGGTAACACAGAGGGCAGAGCAAACAGCACAGGCAGTGAATGCCAAAATTTCACCTGCCAGGGCAGTTGGTCCATCTCAAACTGGGCTTATCCTGAAAGAATCATGAGTCTGCCTCCCCCTCTGGCGGAGGAGAGGATCCCCAGGTCAGGCCAGAGCTCAGAGCTATCCCCAGACACCCCTGGCTGCTGAAGCWGGCTGTGTAAACAAAGGGCTTACATGAGTGTTAGACCTTCAATCTCACTCACTTCAGCCATGAAAAAGCTGTGCTGCTAACAACTCACATTCAGAGGTTTCATTGTGTGTTTGCCAACAGGATCAGAATGTGGATGCTTAAATTACACAACCTTCTCTCTATTCATCCATCAGCTGTTTGAGCCTCCTTTWCATGAAGTATTGTTCTCAATAAAATTTTAAAATCTGTTTTAGTCTTTAATTTCAAGCATTCTGAGTAGACAAGTCACATGCCATGAGAGTTAGATCCTTTTCCTAATACTTACAAATAAACATAATCTCATCACTGCCATCTTCAGCCATTTTTTTAAACCTGCCAAAACACAAAAGATGAAGTTAGTTCTGAATTGACTTTTACTTTCCATATTATACCAACAACCCTTTGAGAAGCAATGATGCTGACTGACCCATAGCATGCTCAAACACATTACCGGCCCTGCAGAAGTATCAACGAACAATTAAAGAAATTAAAGCTGTTAAAAGCCCCTAGTGACTGCTGTACCATTACATGTTACAGATATCACTACCAAGAAGCCTCAGTGTCTGTGGTTTCTTTGGTATTTTTCCCTGAAGCAATGCTGTCCCCCACTGCTCCCCACCCCTCCTCTCACCAACTTCAGCTATTCCTGTGTCCCCTCCTAAAAAGCTCCTGTGGAGCCTCAGAACATGCAGGGCCAGAGGATAATCCAGGTCAGCAGCAACCACTGCAGGAACAAGGCTCACTCAACTGTTTTACTGAACTGTAGCTTAAAAAAATTCTCTCTGAAAGGCAGATGACTTATTTAATAAACACAGTAACCTGAAGAACTTAAAAATTGCCAATATAGCCACAGATCTGTTCCAGAGGCAAAGGTCTATTGTGGTACTGAGCACCAGAAAACATGGGGAAATAAAATCCTGCTTCTGTCACTGGCCTTCCACAAAACGGTAACTCACCAATTTGATTTCACAGTTAAATAAGGTTAATCTATATTCACCTCATTACTGTCAGTCTCTGTTAAAAACTTGCATGAACACTGTCTACTACCCCTCAACAATAAAATTATGGTTGGCAAAAAGTCTGATTATGTATGGCCAAGACCACAACACGAGCAGGACCTAGAAAAGTTTTTTTTCCTAACCAAAAAACTGCCCTCCTCCTCAAATACACAATTTTCCCAATGCCCCAGTGAGAGGCAAAGCAACATGAAGATCATAATCCACATCTGAGAGAGATGAGGCTGCAGAAACAGCAAGTGTTTTGGCCAAGAAGAGGACAGGAAGGATAAGAGCCTGAAACTGTGAGAGCCAGAGGAAACATGACACACTAAACTAGCAGAGCCCTGGTTTAAAGTAAATAAAGCACTTGCTACTACAGCAACAAAAGCCAAACGAAGAGATGCAGGAGCACAGACAWTGCTCAGAATTAGGACTCTTCAAGCACTGCCCTCCACAACCCCACCTGCCACAGCAGGACCCCTCCCCAACACTCCCCATCCATGGCACGAACTGGGGCCTCTCCTGGCTACAACTTTTGGGGAGCTCAAGGAACAAAACATTTACACAAAAGCCCAATGCTGAGCACAAACAGCAATTTGAGGAATTTCCCCAACAGCTCTTATCCTGAAAGCAAGGTGAGCGATTCAACAGGTATTAAGGGGAATCCAAAGCACAATGCTCCAATGTCAAAAACAGTYTGGTTTGCTTTTTAACCAAGACATTTTTTTTGGATGCTTTGCACTATTTCAAGAGGGGTACGTCCACCTGGTTTTAGATAATTTGTGTCCCAGCAAGATTTTAATCCTAAATATGGCTGAATGAACGAATAATGGCCCTGGTCCCTGGTTCAGGGGCACAGTGCAGCCACACCACTGAAGGCAATCACCCTCCAGAACGCTGCTGTGTCACATCCTTGGGAAACAGCACACTGGGGACAAGTGACATTACAGGAGCAGCAACTCAGTCTTGTTCCAGGGGCTGTCACATGAGAACAGCAATAACAGGGAGCAGAAATCATCATCAGTGTTGTTCAAGGTGATGGGGAGGAAGCGTGAAGGGCCCTCACAGGTGCAGCGGGTGAGGACACGACACCTCAGTGATCTGCATTAGCGCAGTTCCCAYCTCTGCAGCAAGGACTTTCCGTGTTCTGCACGTCACAACAATCCTGATCTGTCACCCCTCGCTCCCCTGCTCGGCACAGCGCTCCCAAATAAACACCGCTACCTGCTTTACAATTCTGATTTACACACTTCTCACCCACTGGCTTCAGAACTCCTGCTCCCAGATCGCAGCTGTATTTCCCAGSAGTTTGTGAAATCAGTGACACGATGCCACCCTCTCTGGCTGGTAAACAGAGTCACAATGTGCCACACAGGCTCACATGATGGCACTGAAGACAGACACCAGAATTTTTTTTGCCCTCATCTGCTGTTGCTCTGGGCCATTTTCTAAGTTCTTTTTCCTTCGTTTCAAACATTTGTACTGGAAAAATACTCCATGGAATCGCTCATCCTACTGCTCCTCATTCTGTTCTTGTCTTGCAGGGATAATCAAAGCTTCTGGGAGTTCCAAGTATTTTTTATATAAAACAGAGAGCAGCCATTAGCAGTGAATAATCAGGAGAAAAGCCACACAGAGGAAATTAGACCAGGTACAAAGCCTAATTCTGATGGCAGTAAAACAGCAGAAAAACACTTTTTTTTTGCCTGTATAGTAGTATGAGTGACTTTGTGCCTGAGAGTAGAGYACACAGCTATGCACAGAAATTCCAGCTGCACCACGGGTCAGTGAACATATCTGGAACTTGAGGAACCCAAATGAAGAGAGAGGCTATAGAATCACAGGTACCTGCTTGCAGCCATGATGTATAAACACACTGTCAGGGAACCACCCGAGCCATAAAAATTTAAGAACGGATGTAAAAACACATTTTCCCCTTACACTTGTACTGATGTAAAAACACACCTTCCCTTGCTGAAGAAAAAAATCACTCTGGCGCTAAGCTGAGCCTTTTTGATCTTGCTAATGGATTTTAAAAAAAGAAAAAGTAGGTCAGAAAAATTAACTGAATGCATAAAAATCTGTGTTTGAACTTAATGACCAACACAGTAAAATTACAGGTTTTTTTTCTTCAGTTTGTGAATGGGTTTCTAGGAGTGTGAATAACTTTACAACACAAGCAGATGGGTGCTGCAGATACCTATGTGAAAGGATGCACTCAAAAATGCAGTTTTCCTCATGAGGTAGTAAAGAACTTGTTCATGCTCCCGCTCAAAGAACTGCAGAACATCTGGTAAACTACAGCGAGGCCTTCTATTTCTGAAAAAAATAGGGCCATTCTATCAATTATTGTCAAGGAGGAGGCGGGGGACGATTTTTACGCCAGTCCGGGGGGCACGGAGTAACACAGCGGCTGGGGGAGGTCTGTGGCACCTGCCCTTCCCACGATCTCATGCGAATAAACTACACGCAAAGTTTAATGGCCCTGAGAAAAAAAAACGAGCGGACTGCAGGAATATTCACGTGTGCTCAGCCCCGCAGCCCCGCTCCTTTTGTCTGGTCGGGCGCCCACCGCACCTTCCCTGAGGGCACACGGCGGGGCAGGGCACGATCCCCGCGCCTCCCTCAGGATCACGCCCTCGCACCTGGAAGCTCCCACCCCCCCCTCCATCCCCAACCCCCTGCGGCCG